TTTGATCTTCATCAGTAAATGTTTTAAGTCCTCTTCACTGTCAGCAAGCAAGGTTGTATCATCTGCATATCGTAGGTTGTAATGAGTCTCCCTCTAATCCTGATGCCATGTTTTTCTTCATATAATCCATTTTCTCAGATGATTTCTTCCAAAGTACATAGTGAAGTGGAAAATGGGAAAACGAGGACAATTCAACTCTTCCACTTATTTATTAATGTTATCTGTGCCCTCAATCTTATTCTTTAAATATGTCAAGATAAGTGAGCCCTTAATTCTTCTTAGTTCTTCTGCTGGTGCTCTTGGGCCTTATTTTATATATTTCACACAGTCTGAATTCCCTGATTGATGATCTAGGGAGAGTGTTACATATGAATGTACTGAATATACAGATTCCAAAAAGAAGTAGAAAGATCTGAAGATGTTTGACTTCATGGATTTTTAATTATTTTTAAACTATCTTAATTAAGCTGTTCCCGACTCACCGATTTCCAAACTGAAATTACTACGATTCTTCCTTTCTCCCTCCTATAGTCTAAAGCCACTATAGAAAGTAAATCGCATTGATGGGATCTACCAAATATACATTCTTATCAATGGAGAAAAGATTGAAGTTGTCAAGGACTTCATTCTTCTTGGATCAACTATCAACACTCAGTGAAGCAGCAGTCAAGAAATCAAATGACGTATTGCATTAGGCAAATTTGCTGCACAAGACCTTTTTAAAGTGTTGAAGAGCAAAGATGTCAGCTTGAAGACTAATGTGCGCTTGGCCCAAGCCATGGTATTTTCAATAACCTTATATGCATGTGAGAGCTGGACAGTGAATAAGGAAGACAGTAGAAGAATTGATGCCTTTGAGTTATGGTGTTAGAGGAGAATATTGAAAGTGCCATGGGTTGCCAAAACAACCAATAGATCCGTTTTGGAAGAAATACAGCCAGAGTGCTCTTTGGATGCCAAGATGGCCAAACTTCATCTCTCATTCTTCGGACATATTGTCAGGAGAGACCAATCACTGGAGAAGGATATCATGTTTGGTAAGGTCAGAGAAAAAGAGGAAAGACCCCCAACGAAATGGATTGTCCCAGTGGCAGCATCGATGGACTCAAGTGTGGCAACAGTAGTGAGGTTGTCCCAGGATCGGGCAGTGTTTCATTCTGCTGTGCATAAGATCGCTATGGGTTGGTGCTGACTCGATGGCACCTAACAACAACAACAACAACAAATGTACATGTTCACTCTCCTCAGCTAAATTCTTACCACTTAGCATTCTGTAACCCTTTTGCCTCCTCCCTAATAAGATCTTTCATTTTTTCTTAGTACATCATCTTTAGCAAATAATTGGCAAGCTCCTTGAAGTGTTGTATTATTTTCAAGTAACCCACCACAGTGTTTAGTATAGTGCATTTTATATTATAATATCTTTATTTCATAAGTAGTGGATAACTTCATCTAAATCTTGTGCTGCTGAAGGTTACTCCCTTGACAAAAATGTTACCTTAAAATGTTTGCAATCTTTGCTGTCTTTCCCAAATGTCCTCTTACCAGATTAGTCAAAAACTGAGAATTATTATGTCTTGGTGTGGTGCTGCAGCATAATGTGCTGGATCACAAGGTTTGTTTGAATAACAAGGTCAGCAGTTCAAGCTCACCAGCCACTCTTGCAAACCCTATGTAAGGTCGCTATGAGTCGAAATTGACTTGACAGCACTTAACAACATCATATAAAATTACATGTATGAAATTTCCAACATCAATTTGAAAATATAAAGTAAAAAGTTGTGAAGGACAAAGAACATTTAAGAAATTCCTAAACACTTGACTGTTCTCCATTGCTTTACCCTAGATATTATTATTTATTTTAGTTATAAATACTATTTACTCTCATCCGAATATGTGCTCTGTATTCACAATGCTAATTCCTTTACTTTAAATCATCTCATTTAATACTTTAAACAACCCAGCTCACATGTAGCATGATAATATTGTTGTTAAGTGCTGTTGAGTTGGTTCTAATTCATAGCAATCCTGTATGTGGTTTCCGAGGAGCAGTTGCTGATTTCAAACCACTGGCTTTGTGGTTCACAATCCAGTGCTGATTCTACAGTGCCATACCATGAGTCCTACATGTAACATAGTGGGTTGCAACCATATCTCTCTACTTCCAGTTATTATGACAATTCAAGTAATTATTCTGTGTTAGAAATTTAAATTTTTAAATTTTATTTTATAATGGAATTCTTTAATTAACCATCCATTAGTTAAAAAGAACTATTGGATCACATTAATGCATTTAGGCAGTTTTATTAGTGAGTTCTTTGATAGAATTTCCTTTCAATCAGTTTCATAGTAGTAGATCGGTTTTGCCACTGCTACAGTCTAATGATTTTAATATAAAAAACTATACAGGTAAGGTCACTGGTTGCTTAGCATTTGCAGTGAGGATATGGGGATAGCTAAAGGCATGTGGGGTCTCATTATGAGGGGATGCAAATGTTCTAAAGTGAATTGAAGTGATGGTTATACAACTGTGTGAATATACTAAAAACTGTACACTTAAAATTGGTGAATTGTAAGGTATGTGATTTTTTTTCAATAAAACAGCAATTAACAACAACAACAAACACACACACACACACACACAAAACTATACAGGTATTTGTGTCATTCCCTATCAGACCAAATAGAATTCAGAGAGGCTGCATAGTACATTGCTTGATATATATTCTTGAGAGAGCATGACTTCAATAAATGCAAAAGCATCATTAAGGCACGTGTCTCTTAAGAGGAAGTATAATTAGACAACAGTTCTCTCTGAGTTAATGCAGGTGTCAGAGTTCAAAAATTGAGTTTGCTTTAGGAGTCTTTGTATGTTTGTTTCTGAGTATTGTCCTGACAGAAGTCCTTCTGTGGTACTGTGGGTTAATGCCAATGTGGCTATTTGCATAACTGATATATGCCACTGAGGAAACCACAGTTGGGTTTATTTTGATTTGTTTTTAAGCTTTTATTGTAAATTGAGTGATAGTTTACATGGGAGAACATCGGTTTTACACTCATCATTTCATTTCAATAATTACAATCTCCTCTCTCCATCATCATTCAGCAGTATTTGCTTCTATTCCCTCTGGTTGTTTTTTGGGGGGCGATGGGGGTGGAGATGTACACAAAAACAATCAGGAATATATAATCATTTAAACAACCAAAGGACACATTCTGCAAGCCTGCTTCTTGGCTGCTAGCACACAGACTTTCTTTCTATGAGTCTAGAGTCCTCAGCTACTCGTTCTCTCCATGTCCTCATCTCTGCCTCCATCTCTGGTGTCACTGCTTCTCTGGATATGGGCCCATGTTCCACTTATGCTCTTCTCCCTTGATGGTCCTAGGGTCCTCTGTTCCTGGACTGTAAGATTAACTACTATCCCCTTTTTTAAACAATATATTTTAAAGACTAAATTAAACTTGTACAAAGATTCTTTGCTTCTTATAAAATGTCTTTCTATCTCTCTTTGTTTTCTTTACCAGTTAATATTGTAAGGAGAGTTTCTTCTAAAAATGATTAGAAATCTTCATCCTCCTTCCAACCTACTAATAGTGCTGAAGTCATTCATAAAATGAAAGTTATAAAGTAAGGATACTGGATACTGTGTGCAGAGTCAAAAGATTGATAGACATTGAAGAGCTAAGCATCAGATTTACCTAATGATTTATTTGTATGTTTGTGTGTGATATTTAATAGTTGTGAACTATTTAAGTACATTGAACAAGAATCCCAGTTTTGACCTGTCATCTGTGTTCTGTGCTAGCTACTTTTACATATGAAGAATTTGCTAAAAAAAAAAAAACACACACACACACACACACCCATATTGTGTATTTTTTGTTTTACTTATTTTCTAGTTATTTTGATTTAGCAAGAGTTTAAACAGTTTACTTAGAGGGCTAATGGGGTGACCCCATCAAGACCATGGCCAGGATGTTGACTTGGACAAGGCAGTATTTTATAGTTATCCTGGTATTGGAGTCCTGGTGTGGCACTATAGGATAAGCACTGAATCACAAGGTTGGTGATTCAAACTCACCAGTTGCTTCTTGGAAACCCTATATAGGATTGCTCTGGGTCATAACCAACCTCAATGGCACTTAACAACAACAACCATAACTGTGTATTGATTTCTTTATTTTGTAAGCATTGCCATAAACATGACTTTCATAAAGTAATTATCTTGATTAAGTTAAATGATTAAACTAAGTCTTGCATGAGAAAAGAATATTCTTGAGAAGCAGTGATGGATAGACTCCAGACTTTGGATCATCTAGTTCTGTTAGCATTTTCCAGTTGAGTGGACAGTCACCTCCCAGTTTGGCTTGGGTGACATAGAACAGGTTGCAAGACCTGTGTATTTCCTAGTAAAAATGGAAAAGAAATCAAGAAAGAAAGATGACAGTATTAATATCCATATGTGTTCTTGAAATGCTTCTTAGATTTGTTTTTTGCTTTGATTAACAACATCATTACTGAGGTAATAAATTGTAATTAATATCTGCATTACTTTTTATAAGTGGTAGTTTAATAGCACAATTAGAGTAATTAGTGTACAGCATAGCTTGGTGACATGACAAATCATAGAGCAGAACATGGTGACTCTTATCCATTTTGATACATTAGCTAATTCACTTGCTAAATAAGGACAAAAGAAAATGAAGATAGGGAATTGGGCAATAAAACAACAATAGAGGGATTGTAGCCATGTTTTCAGGTTTTAAGTTTTCCACTGAGTTCATGAGTATTATGGATTGTTGACATGGTATTTTATTTCTTTCCATTGATAAATCTTAGTTCCTGATTGAATCTTTAAAGGATAATGTGAATTTTAAAAAGAATATATGGATACAATTGAGCATTTCTGCATTTTTCTTGTTGTCTGTATGGTGTTGTTTTTTTCAGAATTATTCATGGTGAATCTGATTGATGTTTAAATTTCTTACTTAATTTTCAGAACCTATGAGAACTCCAAAGACTTTAAAGATTGCAGAGATACAGGCAAGACGTATTGCTGTGGATTGGGAATCCTTGGGATACAACATAACTCGTTGCCACACATTTAATGTCACTATCTGCTACCATTACTTTCGTGGCCACAATGAGAGCAAGGCAGACTGTTTAGACATGGACCCAAAAGCTCCTCAGCATGTTGTGAACCACCTGCCACCTTATACAAATGTCAGCCTCAAGATGATCCTAACCAATCCAGAAGGGAGGAAAGAGAGTGAAGAGACAATCATTCAAACTGATGAAGATGGTATGTTCATACTTTTTTTTTTTAGGGAGGGAATTCTGTAATTCCTTAAACTTTTCCTTACACTGCCAAATACTGAATTGTACCTGTAATCTGATGTGAACATTAAAAATAGTTTGCCTTTTGAATAAAAAGTCTTAATTTTCTTCAGATAAGCATCCAAATGAAATGTTGTCTTCACTTTTTATACAACGTAAATTGAAGTAAGAACTATGCTAAAAGTGTGAATTAAGTTTTTATTAAACTTTCAAAATAAGCCTCACTATTCACAGTACTATCTCAATTACATATTGTAACATGCACTTGAGTTTTTTCGATTAGGTTTTTGCATTTTACAAAATAATGCTAGTTGCTTTAGTTTCTGTAAATTCAAAAACAATATCATCATCCTTCATACATCTAAGCAATTGAAACTGTGCATGACTTCTGAATTACTAACTGATAAAAACAAACATGTGTATTAATTTTATAATAACCAAACACTTATTGTGGCAATATATGACGACTGTAAATATGAATACATTTCCTGATAAACAGAAAACAATTTGGATACTACACAAAAAACTTCGTATAAGGATAATATTCTAATAATAATGAAGGTGGTAATGATGTACCCTTTTAATGAAAGATACTTCATTTTCAAAACCTTCTCTTAAGAATAAATTTGAAAAAATAGTATATTATGTAATGAGTTGTGACAAAGTTGGACTGGAGTCATGAGCTTGATGTCCTGACACTAATACATCTGTAACCTTAGCAAAACCTTTAATCTTCCTTGCCCTCTGTTTCTCATCTCTACATGAATGATTTAAACTAGATGATGTCTTGAGTGCCATCCCCTACTAAAACTCTTTTACTTAATAGCTTGAAAGTATGGCTAAATTTTTATTTGTGTTTCAGAAAATCTGATGTATTTCCTACCTATGTGTTGTCAACTTCCTTCAAGTGAACTTTAGGGTCAGATCTATAGCTTAGTGTCTAACAAGTATGTAATTGCCATGAAATTAGTAATGTGCCATTGTTTGTAGAAGTGCTTTCTATCATTTCAAACTTTATTCCTCTGAAAAGTTGAAATGACCTTAGTTAATACTGGCATTGTGATAATGGAAAGTGAGTGGTTTTTTAACCTTATTTAACTCAATGTTTGAAGGAATCAGTTACTATAGTTCTTGAAGTATTCATAAAGTTATTCTCATAGCCCTAAATACTCTTATTTAACGATAGATTCATTGCTGTCTATTTTGAGGTAACTATTTCAGCAGTTATGTTGACCTTGAAATTAATTGAAGTAGCAAAAATATTTTAGCTAACAAACCCTGTCCTATAATACACACATACACACACAAACAAAACTAAGCACATGCTTATGCAGGAAAGAATGGTTAGGGAGGAAGGTTTCATTGGTAGATGTTAGAGATGGGATATTCTATGCATAGATCTAAAAGCGCTAAAAAATCTTTTCTCCTCTCAGAAAGTGGAATGGATTATTAAATATCAGTATCCCATTAGACATACTGTAACTCTTATTTTTGTAATAAGAATGTGCTGACATGTTTTACCGTCTGCACATAAAAGTTTTAAAAACAAAATTTTAATTGGCAATATTAGAGTCTGTTCCTTGAGTTTTGCTGCTTTGGCTCATCATTTTGATACTATCCTTTGGTATGGTATTTTAGTCTGCCTTTCTTTCCCACAAACATGAGAAAGCAGTCAGGATTATGTAATCTTTCTCATATTGAGTTCTATTTTTAAAAATATTTTCTGTACATGTACAATTAGATGATTAATAAGAAACTAAGTTTCTTTGAAATTTTAAATTCTGCCCCAAATTGATCAAATTAATGACTGTACTATTTATATTATCTAGAAATTGTCTTCTGGATACCATTAGCTATATATTCAGATTTCAATATTATTAGTAATTCTGGTTTTCTTAACCTCTGCTTTAAATTTTTATAGGTTTTAATGCTATTGAGCTGCATATTATTATAATTTGACAATATTATTGCAATGTACTACTAATCCCTTTTTCATGGAGATTGTTTTTCCTTTTGCTGTATACATATGTCTTAATGATAGAAGTGCAAACTTTCTATGAAGTATTTGCACAAATGCTATAAGTCTTCATATCTGTCCTTTTGAGCTCTTTACTTTTTCTATTGATGTGGCTCACTTGATGTGTCTGTCCTAATGTTTTAGGGGATGGGAGAAGAATATCTAAATCATAATCTCTTATTTCAAAGATCAATGGATTATAGTAATCTGATTAAGTCAGTCTTGATAAATTATTGCTACTCTGTATACACAGAAAAAGAATAAATTATCAACCATCTAATAAAAGGGTATAATTTCATGAAAAGAAATCTAGGGTTATCCATAAATCATGAGAGTTGAAGCTAAAATGATTTCCCACCAGAACCCTAAGGTAAAGCTTATATTTAATTTATTGCATACATTTTTTTAATGCATAGGTAGAACTTTTTTGTATAAGGTTTTGTTTTCATTTTTCATTCCACATTCATAAAAATCAATATTATGAAGTTAGCTCAGCAGAAAAACTTGGTTTGGGGACATTGTATGAGACTACAAATCTATTTTAAATATGCATTTATTACATTTTAATGTCTATAATGCTAATTTAATATTATCTTGTCCCACCCACATTTAATTTGCCCTCTCTTTTCAATTATGAGGCTATATTTTAGAGAAATTTCCTATACTCAAGAAAATGAGCTGGAATGTCTTTCAAATAAATTACAACTAGAGGAAAAGTCAGCATTTTGTATTCATTCATCGTTGCTGATGTGGGAACGTGAAGTGACATTCCTTGGCAATCTGCCCTCTACCATGCTAAGGGTCCTAATAACTTCATGCTATGTTTAGACAAATCACAGGGAGCTACAGACACTATCTCTACTTGTAGGCATTGCCTTCCTTCAAATGTACTGTTGTTATTGTGTGCCGTTGAGTCAGTTCTGATTCAGAGCACCAATGGGCTCAAACCTAACAACTGTGACAGGCTAGTGTTTCATTCTGTTGTACATAGGGTTGATAATGCATCAGAGCACTCGAAGGCACCTAACAGTAACAATTGGCAAAAGGGAAGATATATGAGGAGACTTCAGAAAGTTCATGAAAAAAATCTCGTTATCTTTTCATTCCATTTTCCCATGCACTTTTTGAAATTTCTTTATATAAGAAAAATGGAAAAATTACAAAAAACTTAGGGAAGCTAAGCTTCTTTCCAATCCTACTCCTTTTGTTGCAAAATTATACAAATATTTAAAAGCATTCCTATTTGTGAACAATTTGAAATACATACAGCATTTTGTAAAATTTGCAGGCCAACTTGTGTTTATCAAACATATGAAGTTATTATCATGATAAATATCACACAGAGAACATTTATTCTACATTTGGGGCTTTGGCCCCTTGTTTTCTCATCATCTTTTATTAGCGATACCTAATCACATTTGTAAGTTTGCATCATTTAAGTAGAAACTACAGATATTCCCCGATAAGCAAACAAATGCTCATGGCCGTGTTAGCAGATGTCACTTTCCCAACATGTTCTAGTAATGTAGAGATGAGAGTGTGTATATGCCTTTGGCTAACTTCTTCCCAGTCCGTCTCCTAAGATACAAGTACAGATCTTCTGAAGTTTACTATTGGCATCTCTGTTTACTGTAAGTTCTTTTTTTTTTTACACATTTACGATGAACATTCCAAATTATGTTACGATGAACATTCCAAATTATGTTAGTCATAACATCACTCATATTCTCCTCATAGATTGCAATGAATCTTACTCTTAGCACATATCATCACAATTTCTTGATGCTAAAGATGCAAAGCATTTCCTTTGATCCAGTGATTTTTAATTTATTTCCATCCTCACAAAATTGCTATATACTTTGAAACTACATTTCTAGATAATGTCATGTGTGAAGTTCACTGAAATGTTAGATTAAGAAAAACTATTAATTAAAAAACACACTTGTAGAATGTTGGGGAGGTATTTTCAAAGGAAGACCGTTTTAAAGCAAATTAGGATGTATAACATTTTTTAAACAGTAATATTTTTTTGTTTTTAAAATTTTCGATATTTTTTCATCAATCAAAACTAGCAGCTATGTAGTTATGTGACTAAATACCAACTGGGTATTTATGTAAAATCCATAAAAGGAAAACAGACTATTGAAAATGTATCTTGACTTTATACTTTTTGGTAGAAGTTGATGAATTATCTATTGCCACCACTGGGAATTGTAAGTTCTATATGGTGTGTGCAAATTTCAGGAGTGAAAGCTTCTGAAATCTTGTCAAATTTAGGAACTCTTGAAAGCTACTTATGATGATTATTTAATTCCAAATAAGTCCAGGGCTATAAAATGAATTGGTTCTTAGCTTTGAAAACATGCATTTCATCTAGAAGACTAAAAGAACATTTAACCAGTAATCTTAAACATCTTGTTGGAACTTGTCACTGATACTGTCACTTTCATTTTTTAGAACTGTAGACGTGATCATTACAATTATGTAATTCAGGTTGACAATTAAGGGGCATTTCAATTCAGTGCTATGTGATTTAGCTTTTGATTCCAAGGAGTATTAATTATTACTATAATTCATTATTTTATGAACTTTGTTTATGGATTCTCTTTAGGGGCTTATCATAATCTTCAAAAAATCTTTCAGGGAAATACATCTCTGTTCTTGAAACAAATTACAAATGAGATCTTCATGTTATTATAGGTATACAACAGAGAAAATTAGACTGTATAATTTATTCAACTCTCGGAGGTGATAGTATATTCTTTTGAATAAAAATAACTTTGTATTTATAAATTTTCTGTCTTCTAGGCTTCTAGACTTACTTTACATTCCCAGATAGCAAAATAAAGTTAGAGAACTGATCATAGAGATTATCTTTTTCTTAATATGCATTTTATTGATATAATGTTTATTTTTAATTTTGTTTATATAGCTAGTTCAATTTCTGATGTGAGCAGCTTCTAACCCAAAATATCTATGTATTTGTAGTGCCTGGCCCTGTACCAGTCAACTCCCTTAGAGGAACATCCTTTGAAAATAAGATCTTCTTGAACTGGAAGGAACCTTTGGATCCAAATGGAATTATCACGCAGTATGAGGTATTGGGACTACAAGGAAGTTAATTGGAGAGAAAAAGGAAAAATTAGAGGAAAAAATGGATAAGAAATAAATGGGGATTATTGTTGTTGTTGAATGCCTTCTAGTTGGATTTTCCAGGAGTAACTGATGGGTTTGAACTACTAACATTGTGGCTAGCAGTCCAGTGCTTATCCTACAGTGCCACATCAGCACTCCAAGTGAGGATTAGGAGATTAAAATCATTATTAGTTCCCTCTATTTTTATGTACAAATTATATGATGTTAAGATTCACAATCAAAATGAGTACTTTTTAGTACTCATAATTTTCAGATTTCTCAATTTAAATGGATTTTTTAAGGAAACAAGTTTTGTCTTGTTGAAACAGACTTTCTGATGTTTGTATTGAAAGATCACATATAAAAATCCTTGCTTTTAAATAAAAGATAATAGCTTAGGTTTCATAATGTGAATAGGGTGAGACTGTGAGTGTCAATTGTTCAGTTGTTACACAGTGAGGAATTAATATAAAAAAAGTTTGATGAAGCTAACTAATCAAAGCTTCATTCTACTTTGCATGTAAATCATTATGTTAATTTCCAACTGTTGTTGATTTTTTGTTAAGTGTCATTGAGTCAATTTCGACTCATCGTGACCCTGTATAAAATTTTCAGAGAGTGACAGTAGGTTTGATCCACCCACCTTGTAGTTAGCAGCCCAGTGCTTATCTGACAGTGCCACACCAGGATCCTAATTTCCAACATGAGAAACTAAAATGAAGAAACCAAAAGATCATTTCAATTGCACAAATGTGTAGCTCTCTTTCTAGTAGACATTGCTGATTAGAGTATGGTGGTGGTGGTGATGATGTGCCATGGAGTCGGTTCTGACTCATAGTGACCCTGTACAGGATTTTCGAGTCTGTAAATCTTTACGGGAGCAGAAAGCCTCATCTTTCTCCACCGGAACAGCTGGTAGTTTTGAACTGCTGACTTTGCAGTTTGTAGCCTGATTCGTAACCACTATGCTTCGTTGCTTAAATTCCTAGTGGTCATGGAGTGCAACTAGGAGCTCTGGTAGAGTAGTAGTTACATATCGGACTGCGAACCTCAGAAACAGCAGTTTGGAACTACCAGCTGTTCCGCGGGAGAAAGATGAGGCATTCTGCTGCCATAAAGATTTACAGCCGCGGAAACCCTGTACAGGGTGGCTATGAGTCAGAACCGACTCCACGGCACATAACAACAACAACATGGAGTGCAACTGGAATTCTGGCAATGCTATGTAAACTGCTTGCCTACAAATCCGAAGATTGATACACCAGCTGTTCTACAGGAAAAGGATGTGTCAGGCTCTCTGGATAAAGGTCTACAAACCTGGAAGTCCTTTGGGGCAGTATTGCTCTTTTCTGTAGGATTGTTATGAGTCTGGCTCCAATTCAGCCATAGTGCATAGGGTTTGGTTATGGTAGAGAGAGGATCATGGGAATGGGATTCACTAACATAGTGTTGTAATGTGAGACTCTGTTAGCATTCTTGAATAATTTGTTCTAAAATTTGTTAATAGTGTGAAATTTGGTATATAACGGACATAGTATGGAAAAATGTTGTTAAGAAACAGTTTTATACTTTCTGTGTCTCATCTGCACAGAAGTCTATATCCTTCAGGTTTCCTATGAATCTGTGTTCATATTTAAGTATGTTATTGTATTGTTTGATGCTTTTTTAAGGAAGAAAATGGAATGTATATTAATCTATTCAAATATAAATATCTAGGTTTATGTGTGGTTAGATGGATGGATAAGCACTTAGATGAGAGATAAACAACCATATTAAAAAGGAGAAGGAATGGAGGTAGAAAAATGATGTTTTACTCCAGAGAAATGCTATTTACATACTACCTTATTTAAGAAAGGTTTATTTATGATTTACAATTACTTAGGCTGGATATGTAATAGGAGATATATTTCTTTAAACAGGTCAGCTATAGCAGCATAAGGTCATTTGATCCTGCAGTTCCAGTGGCTGGACCACCCCAGACTGTATCTAATTTATGGAATAGTACACACCACGTGTTTATGCATCTTCACCCAGGGACCACCTACCAGTTTTTCATAAGAGCCAGCACAGTCAAAGGCTTTGGACCAGCTACAGCCATCAATGTGACCACCAATATCTCAGGTATGTAAATGAGTAAAGTGCAAATAGAGTGGATTATTCTCTTGCGTTGTAATAGCTGGTGATGGAGAATCACATACTTAGAAAAAGTAGTTTGTCTGATTTATTGAAGACACTTTAAAAAATCAGGTGAATATGAATTATTTTCTTGATATATATCCAAACATATCATATAATCACTTTTAATTGCAGCATTCTTTGAAAAAAAAAAGTAACTGTATTTAAAAACGTCAATGTTTATTATAAACACTAATAGACCTGTTGTATCTTTGAGGAATTGGTAATTGCCACAGCATCAGCTCTGTAATAAAGGAATTTTTATAAAAAGAGTAGCATTAGATCCTTATACTAGCACTCCAGTACCACATCTATGTGCCTTTTTTTTTGCTGACATTTTAAAATAAATAAGTGTTATCTCCCTCTCAGCAATCTCACATAAATATATGGTCATCTAAATTTGAAAATGAGAATGTGCCAGAGAATTTTAAGTTGCTAATCTAGAATATCTTGTTGGGGTTCTTCCTCTTTTTCTCTGACCCTCCACCTTACCAAACATGATATCCTCAACAAGATGGATTGGCCAAGTGGCAGCAATGATGGACTCAAGCATGGCAACAATAGTCAGGTTGGCCGGATTGGGCAGTGTTTCGCTCTGCTGTGCATAGGGTTTCTATGAGTCGGTACTGACTCGATGGTACCTAACAACAACACACTAGAATATAACTCAATCACTTGTTATATTATGTCCACAATTTTATAGTTTATATTTGACTAAATTGCTTACAGATATAATTTCTTTAGTCAAATCCTTATTTAAACCTGATGAAGCTCTGGTAGCATAGTGGTTACGAATCGGGCTGTGAGCCGCTAGGTCAGCAGTTCGAAACTACCAGCTGTTCCGCAGGAGAAAGATGAGGCTTTCTGCTCCTGTAAAGATTTCCAGCCTCGGAAACCCTGTACAGGGTTGCTGTGAGTCGGAACCGACTCCACGGCACATAACAACAACAACAACAAATACTTCCTAGCAATTAGCATAGTAATATGCCATAAATCTACTGCAACTTATATATTTTTACATTGCTTAAAATACTAAAATAAATATTTATTATATATCTAGTAAATGAAATTTTGACTAATGAATATTTTAAAGGATCAGGCATGTAATATATTAATTTTGAATATGAAATGCCAACTTTGTTTATGTTCATTTTCATTACAATTGTACATAGCACATAGTATTGATATGTTGTTGTGTGCCGTGGAGTCGGTTCCAAGTCATAGCGATCCTGTATAGGATTTCTGAGGCTGTAAATCTTTACGGGAGCAGAAAGCCTCATCTTTTTCTTGAGGAACAGCTGGTGGTTTCAAACTGCTGATCTTGCAGTACACAGCCCTATTTGTAACCACAAATACAACAACAACAAATACTTCCTAGCAATTAGCATAGTAATATGCCATAAATCTACTGCAACTTATATATTTTTACATTGCTTAAGATACTAAAATAAATATTTATTATATATTTAGTAAATGAAATTTTGACTAATGAATATTTTAAATTTCCTCAAAACCATCTTGGATCCAGTAGAACAAAATCCAAGTGTCCACACATATTAGCATTCATAACTTTTCATGGCATATTTCCTCTAACTGTTATTTCTCATGTCAAACCCACTGCTTGTAGCTTTTTAAATATATTGTGTCCTTTCAAATTTGGGGTCTTCAAACATACTGTTTCCCCACCTCTGGAATTTAGCCCATGTTTATAAGCATTTTACTGATAAGTATTTTACTTCTCTTTTAAGATTTAGCTCAAGTATCACTTAGACCCTAGATACCTTCTCTGTGTCAGTTTTGTGACTTCCAACACTAATTTAAACTAGTGATTGTAAGAGTGTAGTCCCTGGACCAATGGCCTCACCTGGGCCATCTGGTAATGCACATTACTAAACTTTTCCCCAGATTTTCTAAATCAGAAATTTAGGAGAGAAGTCGGAAGTCGGTGTTGGATAACCAATCTTTGCTTTAACAAGTTCTCCAGATAGCACAGGAGTTCTGGCATAGAGCTATAGGATGAGCACTGGACCACAAGGTCAGATTGAACTGCAAGGTCTATCCTCAGAAACCCTATACATGGTTGCTATGAGTCGGAAACGACTTGATGGCACTTAGCAACAACAACCTGATAAGTTTGATGGCCCTTGTTTGACATCTACCATTTTGGAAAATTAGTTGATTTCACCTGGCTATTTGTTGGATTGTTCATTCATTTATAAGAATCCCATTTAATAAAATTTTAACCTTTAGTTTTAATTCTGTGAACTAGAATTTGTCAGGGATTGTGCTTTGTCTTTATGGGTGTGCAGTTGCTCTCAAGTACACCCACCAGACTGCTAACCACAGAGTTGGCAGTTGGGGTCCAACAGTCACTCCACTGGAAACATATGAGGTGGAGTGTGTTCTGCTCCTACAAAGATTTATAGCCTCTGAAACACTATGAAGGGACTTTATGAGATGGAATCAACTTGACAGTGCTTGATGACAAAGACACACTTTGTCTTATAGCAATTATATACTGAAAAACTTGGCAACAGTATGATTTCATAAATATTCAGCGAATGAATAAAACTTTTTTAGAGACTCTCAGTTCTTTTTGATACTGCACACATTTTACTGAGCGCATAGTCCTTTAAACGTCTTTCTACATACAGGTAAATAATCTAAAGCCATTTTGAAGTTACTTTTTCACCAAGCTCAAGATTAGGAAGTTGTCTCCTAGATTACCTTTGTTCCTTTCAAAAGCCTGGCAAGTAGTAAAAACTAAGGTTCCCATTCCCATTTACCACACTTGCTTGATAGATTTCAATAATGGTAAAAAATAGTCTAGATAAGAAAACCGGAGCTTTTTCACCATTGGAACATAAATAACACTGTCTAAACAGGCATGGAGGATTACTGTAGGATTAGCCCTGGACTACTGACTGCAAGGTTGACAACTCAGACCCACTATCTGCTTCACAGAAACACAATACAGGATCACTATGAGTTGGAACTGATTCCACAACACTTAGCAACAACAACCCAGGCAGTCTTCATCTCAGTTATTCCCATGTGAGTCTCCATAAACAGAACTCTCCACATTTGTATTGGTACTCCCTTCTTGCCATCTCATCATTGCGAATTTTAAAGTCTTATGAAACTGAAAGCTGCAGCATCTTCACAAAATTATTGAGATGTATATGACAAATTCCCAGATTATTATTTCAAATATAAGAGGAAATTTTGTCTTAATACTTTCTGGTGCATGAGGTTCTTAGATTGAATGTTCAGTACCATGTGATATTCTACAAAATAATGTACATTTTAGATAATTAAGTATTAAATTGATTTTTTTCCTAAGTTGATATTTTTTATTCATCTTGAACTGTAATATTACTGTTCATTAATAGAAACCTTTTCTCCTTAATTTCTCATCTGCCAGCTCCAACTTTACCTGACTATGAAGGAATTGATGCCTCTCTCAATGAAACTGCCACCACAATTACTGTATTACTGAGACCAGCACAAGCCAAAGGTGCACCTATCAGGTAAGGTTGTGGTGGCATTGTGCCATCGAGTCAGTTCTGAGTCATGGTGACCCTGTATAGGGTTTCTGAGGCTGTAAATCTTTACGGGAGCAGAAAGTCTCATCTTTCTCCTGCAGAGCTGTTGGTGGATTCAAACAGTAGAGCTTCAGGTAGCAGTCCAACAAGTAACTCAGAATACTTACTTATCGTCTAAGTTGTTTTTGTTGAGTGTCCTCAAGTTGGTTCTGACTCATAGTGACCCTGTATAAGTTTTCTGAGAAGCAGCTGGTGACTTTGAACTGCTGACCTTGCAGTCCAGTGCTGATCCACAGCATCACACCAAAAGTTCTGTCCGATAAGGGGGGAAATAATGATAGTAACAGGGAACAACAGCCACTGTAAGAGATGCTTTTCCATAGTTGATTCTGAATGGTTTTTTGGGTGCTCTCAAGTTGATTCTGACTCATAGTGATCTTGTATAGGGTTTGTAAAAAGTGGCTGATTGGTTTGAACTGCCAACATGGAGCTTAGCAGTCTAGTGCTTATCTGACAGCACCATAGTAGGCTTCTTGTTGTTATTAAGTACCATCGAGTTGGCTTCACCTCAAAGCGTCCCTGTTAGCAGTCAGTAAAGCAGTCCATTTCCTGCAGACATTCATCGAACAATTATTGTCAGGAGGGTGATTCTTTTGTCCTATATTGGGTTTGCTTTGTTTTGTTTGTTTTTTCTCATTTGACAGCTCTCACTTATAGATCCATACTTAAAAATAAAATTCTAAGGAAATTTTTAAGATGCTCAGCACTATTTGGTTCAAGACTGTTGCTATTCTTCTTCCTCTAGTGCCATTTCATTTTCCTGCCTCTGTTGGTATCTATAGCATAAAACTTTTGAAGATATTGATCAAAAATTGAATGAGTAAATAACTCCTGTCCAATGTAGTAAATCAGTTTTGAATAATTTCATATGAAATGATGGAAAACTAGTAGGAAGCATTGTTGTTGGTAAGGGTTATCAAGTCGGTAATGACTCATGGTGACCCTTTGCACAACAGAACGAAACATTGCCCAGTCCTACGCCAACCTCATAGTTGTTTCTGTGTTTGAGCCTATTACTGCTGCCACTGTGCCAATCCATCTCATTGGTGGTGATACTCTTTTCCCCCAACCTTCCAGATTAGAAGCTTAGAGGAAATCAAAGAATAGGTGTAGTGAATCCAGCCAGCCTTGTGACCTCTTAATATCTGAATTGTTCATACCTGAAATTGCATAGTAAACACTAAAATTATTTTGCCATGCTATTTTCTTTCCAATAATAAGCTATTTCATATTATCCTCTTGTAGGAAATTGAAAACAATGTTATTTTCAGAGATTGTGTCAAATTACTTCAACCAATTTCTGTACACTTGTGCAGGCATATCTTGTGTTCTCATGCTTCACTTCATTGCACTTTGCAGATATTGTGTATTTTTTCCAATTGAAGGTTTTGTGGCTACCCTGTATGAAGCAAGTTTGTCAGCACCATTTCTCTAACATCATATGCATACTTCATGTGTTGGTGTCCCATTTTGGTAATGTTCACAGTATTTTAGGTTTTTTTCATACAGATGTTATACTTATAATTGGCTATGGTGTAATACAAACACAAGTTTATATATCCTGGGAAACCAAAAGAAATTCATGAGACTCTTTTATTGTGGTGATCTGGAACTCAACCAGAAATATCTCCTAGGCATGCCTGTAATTAGATAACTTTCCAAAGCTTAAGCAAGATTCTATTTGAAATTGATAGCATTTTTAGATATTTTCTTATGAAATTTCTATAGAGAAATAAATCAAGCCAAAGAAATCAGTCTACGTATTTCACAATTACGCCATATCAAGTTGCTTGCATATTTGTTAAAAACAAACAAACAAACTTTGGTCTACATCTAAAAGCCAGTGAGCACACATTGACCATTCTAATAATCCTTTGTTGCTGTAAAGGGGGAATTTTTTTTCATATTTGAATAAAGAAAGCAGTTTTGAAAGAGCCTATACAGGGAACAGTCTTGAATCCCTCCTGTCACAAACTCTTGGGGACAACACAGCAGAGAAGAAGAGATAGGTGAGTGTACTTGTCACATGAACACTTGCAAATCATTGGCTACTTGCAAATTCAAAATAAGTATCTGGCACATCTCATAAGTCAATGATTTATGAATGAATCTAATTCCTAATCCAAAGGAGAAAGAGACAAGGTCTTCGCCCAAAATCTTTTTTCTACTGACAAGTTATCAGGGTCCTTCATATATTGCTGCATATGATAAAATTACTTTGTGATGTTTGAATCTGCTGCTGTTGTTTAATTGAGTCTTCAGTTGTATTTACATTTAATGGAAAGTGATGTATTTGAGTGAATTCAGCTTTCCTGTATTCTAAAGTTGCAAACTCAGTGTATTATTATTATATAACTAAGCTGTGTAGCATAGTTTATACTGCCTCTTTATTCACTTAATTTGTTCCATATACATTGACTGAAAATGATCACAAACAGAAACAGAAATCCTTTGCCCAGTTCATCGTGAGCGTGTGTGTTCTGTGTGTGTAGCCTCTGGTGATGCGCATGTGTGTGTGAACGCGTTCCCGTGCATATGACCAGCGTAGTTTTTACTAATGGGCTGCGAACCTCAAGGTCAGCAGTTCGAAACTACCAGCTGTTCCATGGGAGAAAGATGAGACTTTCTGCTACTGTGAAGATTTACATCCTCGGAAACCCTGTATAGGGTCGCTATATGTCAGAACTGACTCCACGGCACATAAACACCATCCAGGGTAAGCGGAGTCTTGCTAAACTTTTGCTCATAGTGAGTGTTCAGTTTTTTTCTTTTTAATTAATGAGCACGTTATTGATCAGATATTTAAAATCCAAAAGTCTTCCATTTATTTTATTTACAATTACTTATAAGATTTCTAATTACTAAGTTCTTAGTAATTACTAAGTTATTTCTAAATGTTGGTTACTAAGAATTCACATGGTCTGAACTAATAATTGTAGGAAACTCCCGGTTCGATGCTGTAGGATCAGTACTAGACTTCAAACTACAAGGTTGGCAATTCAAACTCACCAGCTGCTCCTCAGAAACCCTATAATGGGTTGCTATGATTTGGAACTAACAGGAATCCTGGTGTGTCACTGTGAGATAAAGCAGTGGTCTGCAAGGTCTGTTTGAACCACTGGGTCTATGAATCAAACACCAGCATCTCCTTGGAAACCCTACACAGGGTCGCTATGAATTGGAACTGACTTGCTGACACTTAACAATAACAACAACAACAGTAATTATGCAAAAGAACTTCTAAGTAATCATATATCCCTACTCTAAATTCGTAAATGCACATCTTTGGTATTTGTTGGAAATACATCTGACCACTTCTAGAATTGAGTCCAGTGGTTGATAACTCCAAAGCATATAAACTGAAAGAAATTTGTATTTAATAAATAGATTTGAAAACTAGAACACTACAAGAAAAAGTAATTTAATGATACATAATCAAGTCACAGATTTTCTTTTTCATTAATGAATTTTACTACCAGAGGAGATAGGGAAGCAGAGAAAATATGTTTCCCAATTGATATTCTATTCCACCTTGTCCATCTCTATAGTCTTTTTCCCCCCTAGAGGTACTAGTTTATTACAGAAAAGAAAAGAGATGGTTTACTGCCAAGGGAAGTTACTTATAAAGGGTAAAAAAATAAAACCACTCTTTCCAGAAGTGACAAGCTAGACGTTTTTCTGTGTGAAGTGTGTGAGCTAGGGCTTTTTTTTTTTTTTTTCCTGAACTGAGTGATTGCGTGATCGTTTACAGGGGAGAACATTGAATTTACACCATCATTTCATTGCAGTAATTAAAATCTCCTCCCTGCACCATCATCCAACAGTATTTGCTTCTATTCTCTCTGTTTTTGTTTTCTTTTTCGTAGGAGGGAGCTGGGGAGATGTACACAAAAACACTCAGGAATATAATCATTTAAACAACCAAAGGGCACATTCTGCCTGCCTCCTGGCCGTCAGCACTCAGTACTTCTCTTTCCGTGAGTCTTAGAGTCCTCAGCTCCCTCTCTCCATGCCCTCACCTCTGGTGTCGCTGCTTCTCTGGATAAGGACCTACATTCCACTTGTGGTCCTAGGGTCCTGTTTCTGGACTATAACAGAACTTCTACCTTTACAGTTGTGACAGACCCATTTAGTCATGAACAGACACACTATTCTATTAAATCATAACAAATTTATCCCCATATCTTTTGGGGGCTGAGTTCAACCACGTTCCATAGACTCCTACTGAGTTGGAAATGAGAGAGAGAACAAGAAGAGCTGGTTGGTCCAAAGTGTGGTGAGACCTGGGGACTTCTGAGCCCAAGGACAAAGACAAAGCCACAGAAGGCTAGAGCTGAAAGTGAAACATCCAGCTGATATGAAGTGAGGGGAGACGCAAAAGAATCTGCAAACTTGCAGATAGTACCCATTTGACCTACCTTCGATGGCTTGATGATCAGAACTTGACTAGAGGAAGAAGAAAAAAACAATTTTTTGATAAAGGAAATGAGGTTAAATTGCTACAATTTGATGAACTTGATACTTTTTTATGGATGTAGTAGCTCAAAATACCAACTGAGAGGAAAGGAGTCTTCACATCAAGTATCAATCCTATCTCCTTTGTATACAGGATAGGTAGGGAAAGGCACCTTAGAAGTTGGCTACCTAACATGAAGGGGCAATAAAGGCAGGAAGTGACTGGCTTACAAATTTTCAAGAGGGAGTTTAGTTTAAGAGTGTGCTGAGGAAGATAGAGTCCCCACTGAATAATTTTCATCTTGTGTAGATGGGTCTGGTGAAAAGAGATGGGGATAAGGTTCTACAGTATTTTGTAATGACATGCCCAACTCCCTGGAGCACCTATAGGTGGGAATCAGGAGGTAGGTCAGACTGGTTCACTTAGGATATTCAGCCTCAAAGGAGCCCTGTTGTCTTTGCTCTTTGAC